TTTTTCTTTGGGAGCATAGATATTGTGGTTTTGTTCAATTGACCCTTTAATCATGAGATGGCCTTCTTTGTCTTTTGTGCTGGTTTATGCCTTGTAATGTACTTTACCAGAGCCATTCCTGCTTTCTGATTGCCATTAGCTTGATAGATTTTGTTTTTTCCATTTTAAAATGTTTGTCTTTGTGTGCAATGTGTCTATTTCTTGTAGACAGCATATTTAAGGATCTTGTTTTCTTATCCATTCTGCTACTCTCTTTCTCTTGACTGTTGATAATGATACTAAATGTCGATGGATTAAGTGCATTGATACGTATGTATTGATTTTAGTCATTTTGCTGTGTGTTTTCCTGTGGTATTACAGGTTTCTTTGTTCCATATGCTTTCCTGTGCTGAATTCATTTTTGTGTGTGCTTTCTCTTGTCAATTTCTTCATAGTTTTAATATCTGCAAAATCTTCATGGATTTTCCTTTTGTTGATTTGATATAATGGTATATTAAATTCCTTTAAGGTTAACCTGTATGCTTTATTAATTTCTTTCCAATTTTAAAAAAGCCTGTTTTATGTTGAAATCTACTGACCTGCTGGCTACCTGGAACTCTGTAATTCTGCTTTTCCCTCCCTTTACTTTCTAGTTGTCCTGATCATAGATTGACATCTTTGATTCCCTATTTTCAGTTGTATAGTTCTGTTTTACTCTGGGCACTCCCATGTTATTGTTGTTATTTTTAAGTGCCATCCGGTCGGTTATGACTCATAGCAACCCTGTATAGGGTTTCCAAGGAGTACTTGGTGAGCTTGAACTGCCTACCTTGTGGTTCAAGCAACCTTGCAGTCCAGCGCATTAACCCACAGCGCCACACCTTCATATATGGACTGAATTCTAGATGGTGTTTTCGTGTATGTCAATCTCTGGTTGTTTGCTGTTGTTGGTTCTTAGTCCAAATAACTTCTGTTAGCAATTTTTATAGAATTGACTTGGTTTTATAAAGTCCTTTTATTTCTGTTTAACTGGAAGTGTTCTAATTTTGCTATCACTTTTGAGGGACAGCTTTGCTGGTTTTATGATTCTTGGTTGGCAGTCTTTTTTTTTTCTTTCACAGTTTTTTATGTTTCCCCACTGCCTTCTTGCCTGCCTGATTTCTACTGAGAAATCAGAACTTAATCTTACTGCTTTTCCTTTGTAGATAACATTTCATTTTTCCCAAGCTGCTTTCAGGATTCTTTCCTTGTCTTTGATTTTGGAAAGTTTGAGTATGATATGTCTTTGTGATTTTCTTTTGGGGTCACTGTCCTGTGTGGGGTCCATTCCACTTCTTGAATACTTCTCATCTTTCATGATGTTAGGGAAATTTTCTCCCAGCATCTCTTTGATTATATTTTTGGTGTTTTTGTCTCTTCCTGTTTGGAATTCCAATCACCTGTAGAGTATTCCTTTTTATGTTATCCCACATGAATCTTAAGCTTTCCTCAGATGTTTTCTTTCTGGTTGTTCTTCATAGCTTACTAGTATTGAGAGCTTTATCTTCTAGCTCACTAATTCTGGCTTCCATTGATTCAGATCTCTTTTGCCTATTCTTGTGTTGTCTGTTTTTGATATCTTAATATTAATTTTCTGGATTTCTGTTTGCAGAGTTTGTATTGTGTCCAATGCAGTATGTATTTTGATTGTACCTGTAGCAGTTTTCTGAATTCGTTTTTCTGTTAATATTTTGGAGGTACCTAAATATTCTGAACTCTTTTTTTCAGGCAATTCCAGTACCTCTTTTCCCTCATAATGGTTTTCTATCTCTGCCTTTTGGTCATTTGTTTGAGCTACTTTGTCTTGTTTTATCATATGAACAGAGATTGTATGCTGCTTTCGAGGCACTGTGGTGTTGTATTTGTATTAAGTTGATGAATATATGTTGGCATAGTCTTAGGCACTCACCAACTAGTTAGTTGCCTTCTGTGTGTGAGAAACGTCCATACCAACAAATGCTCAAGTAATCCAATCTGTGCTCATTTTAGTGAGAGTGAGGTTTTCTTTATTCGATTTTGCAAAATTGGGTGCCCAATTCAGTAGATATAGGCAGATGTGCCACATGGCTGGCCCGCAAACAGTTTTATTCCTGTCTCGAAAAAGTCCCTCCCCTCCTTCGTTCCCCATTCACAATTCTATGGCATGTCATATTTCCCTCACCCCAGAGAAGCCAAAATGGCTTGCCCAGGTCTAAATGACTGTATTCATATTTAAAGTTCCTAGTCTTAGAATGGATTTCTTTCCTCCCTTCCCCCAATACATCCCTGGATATAAATCAACAATCTGTCTACCTGGTTGAGCAGTCTCATGAGCTTTTATATTCCTAAAGATGGACCATGCCCACAAAAGTTTTTTTTCACAGGTGTGATCAAGACATGAGCTTGTGCACCATTCTCCGTTTGCTTTCAGTTCAGAGTGAACTTAGCTGGTATTGGTTGTTGTTGATCCAGTGTATAACAGGTGGTATTGACTCAATTGGTGGGGCTGTGGTTGGGTTGTATGGCCATAGTTGCTTTCTCCTGTTGGGTAAGACAAGAAAACACTCCCACAAGAGAGAAGGAAAACAAACAGAAAAACTCCAAAACAGTAGGAAAATAAGCGGAAGGCTTCTGCGCCACCTACTGGCGAGGACTAACTTTGCAGATTTGGAGCATGGCCTGCCTGAGCAGGGCTATTGCTGCTGTCTCTTCTCCCTTCAATTGTGTGCACAACCATGTTGTGTCTGCCTAGAAAGCAAGACCTTCCCGGGGGGGGGGGGTAAGGGAGGAGTGTACACTCCTGATGGTTTTGTCCATTATGCAATGAATCAGAGAGGGGAAAAAAAATCTAGCACCTTTGTTCCAACAGTCTTCTGCAACTCTCCTGTTTTCTTATCTCTTAATCTGCTCACACACTTTCAAAATGGTAGTGGCTGGTCTCATTGGCTGCCCCAAATCAGAAGTCACCTTTCTTGCTGCATATGTTCAACTCTTTCTCCCAGTAAATACCTTCATCCACTTATTTATCCCTTTATCTGAAGCTCAGAGTTCCAGGACCTTCTTCTGAATCTGTGTTGTCCAGTTTTCTGTATCCTTGATGCAGAGGGTTTGGACAGCCTTTCTGCCTAATCTGCCATCTTCTACTTGTCATTTTTCTGTCTGTAAGTACTAAAACAGATATCCATATTCGTCATTGAATTACAAACTAATTCATTCAGGGTTTACCTGTCCCTGCTGAAAATTTGCATTTCTATTGGATGTACTGAATCAGAATCTACATTTTAACAAGGTTCTCAGAAGAATCAGTGGAGGATTATAAAGAATTACCTAGAGATCTTGTTAAAATATAGATTCTGGGGCAGAAATGGAACTTCTCTGCAGGGGGTCAAACCTGACTGAAGTCCTGATGGGTGCTGGTATACTGTGGAATCAATTCTGACTTGTGACCCTGTAAATGGTTTCCAAGGCTGTACATCTTTATAGGTACAGAAAGCCTTATCTTTTTTCTGTGGAACAGCTGGTAGTTTTGAGTGCTGATCTCAATGTTAGCAGCCCAACTTGTAACCACTACACTAATTTAATGAGCAGAGTTAGTGTTTGACCTATACCTAAGTTGGTTCAATTCATTTTGGATTTTATGCCTGAATTTGATTCCAGGTATTAGCAGTTTTAAATTTTAAAAAACTTGGTTAGAATCTTGTTAAGTGCTGTCGAGTTGGTTGTGACTCATAGCAACCCTGTATAAGGTTTCCAAGGAGCAGCTGGTGAGCTTGAACCACTGATCTTGCAATTCAAATGGCTTTGCAATCTGGTACATTAATCCACAGAACCACACCAGGGCTCCTTAGGATATTGTTGTTGTTTTGTTAAGTGCCATTGAGTCAATTCCAACCCATAGCGACCCTGTACAGGGTTTCTGAGGAGCAGCTGGGTGAGCTTGAACCGCCAACCTTGTGGTTCAAATGGTTTTGCAGTCTGGCGCATTAACCCACAGCGCCACACCAGGACTCCTTAGAATGTTGTTAAGTGCCGTCGAGTCGGTTTCGACCCATAGAGACCCTGAATAGGGTTTCCGAGGCTGTAAATCTTTACGGGAGCAGAAAGCCTCATCTTTCTCCCGCGGAGCGGCTGCTAGTTTCGAACTGCTGACCTTCCGGTTCGCAGCCCAATTCGTAACCACTACAGCCACTCTGCGGGAGAAAGATGAGGCTTTCTACTCCCGTAAGGATTTACACCCTCGGAAACCCTGTACAGGGTCGCTATGGGTCGGAACCAACTTGAAGGCACTTAACAGCAACAACAATGTATATTTAAAAAAAATTTTCTAACACATCTGTCCTGGTATGGTGCTATAGGATATGCACTGGATTGTAATTTAAGGTTTAAACCAGCGTCTCCTCAGAAACCCTATACAGGGTTGTACTTAGTGGCACATAATATCTGGATTTATTGCACTCTTTTAGTAACGGGGACTAATTTATCTGCTGTACCCTTTACAACTGAGTATAAAGGGCAGGGTGTTGTTTCTTCTGTATTATGTATAGCTCATTGCTGAGGTGGGGAGTACAGATGGAACTAGAACATTAGTCCACTTATTTTGAGAAATATTTAGTAAAAATAAGGTCAAGCTCACTAATTTCCAAAAGTCTTTATTGGTCCCAGAACTTTAAAAACACTCTAATAAAAATATAGCAGCTCACACTGGCCAAAGGAAAAAGGCTATAGAACAGAAGTGATGTATCTATGAAATTTACTAATCTGACACAATAGGAAGATCAGGACTGTTTTTCTTTCTCTGGAATGATTTCTCTTGCAGTTGCTGGAATTCAGAGCTGGAAGTTAAATCTACTTGATATATAGCTAAGAAAGACCAATGATGGGTGAAGTCCTTACTAAGTTCCATAGATTTTTTTAAAGTGAGTGGTTTTTATTTAAAAGAGATGTAAAGAACCAGGTTATCCCAAACAATCTTGTGAAAAGGGAGGGGAAGATAAAAAAAGACTTTAAGAAGGAGAAAGAGGGAAGGGAAACTTCCTGGGCATTACACCATTTGCAAGGTCACAACGAACACCCCAACGCAGGGCAGATCTTTTCTTCTCGGTTGGTACTAGGTAATTGTTTGGAACATATATGTGCTGAGGCTTGGATTGAGGTTCTGCTCGACAAAGCATCTGCTCTCGGATACCCCAGCGTAATTCCTTCCTATGATCTTCACCAGGTAACCGCATTAAGTCCCAGTCTCGTTTGTACTCAAAGTATCGGGCTACCCGATCTATCTTGCCCCGGTTTCGGCTTAACTGGTCTACTCTTGGCAGAATAAAGGACTTGGGTCGGCTGGCAACAATCAAGTCTTGTTCATATGCTGGGGAACCCATTCCTTCTCTTCGAAGACAGTATAGGAGTTGGTCTCCTTGAGTAAGTCTTTGGTATTCATGTGGTAGATTAAAGTTTTGTGAAATTTCAACTGGGGATCTCCTATCTTCAGGGAATTGCAGATTCATCAGCCTTTGTCTTAAGTCCCAGAGATCCATATCATTTTCTACACCAGACTCTGATTCAGTGATAACTGATTCATCTGTCACTAATACCTCCCCATCTGGCTTTCTCCGCAGCACCTTTCTCTTCATCACTGGCTTTTGGAGTCTCTGGGAGGCCTCTGAAACTGTTTCTGAAGTAACATTACTTTCCGTATGTGGATACTGCACTTGCAAAGGAAGAGCAGCAGGCCGCTTCCCTGGAGTTATTGAAGCTTTACTGTAGGGATCATATTGGGTAGTCTGGGCTTCTCTTCTGACATCTCCCTCACCTTGCCCTGCACAGACCTGGGTAAAAGCTGTAGTAGCTGGTAACATTTGTTCTGGAACCCTACTGGACCATTTTTGTCTATTAGGGCCTATGAATTCTTCCATTGCTTCCTCTACACTGTAGGGCCGGCCTTCTGTAAAAGGAAAAAAAAATGACCAGTTACTTGGTAATAAATTTCCAGCTCCTAAATTTGCTCCTTTCCTTCTTGTCTATTATTTTATAGTAGGTAAATGGAGAAAGGAGGGCTGAGGCAGATATACTAAGCACTACGACTGGGGTAGTACAGAAAAACTATAAAGGAATTTCAACTCCAGGAAATCTATTACCTACTTTCATTTTGACTCTCCTTATTCACTCTAGTTTCTACTGCCTGGTAGTAGTTCTTGGCACCTTTTTAAGTAGCTCTGTGGGAGAAAGATGAGGCTTTCTGCTCCTGTAAAGATTTATAGCCTCGGAAACCCTATGAGTCGGAACCGACTCCACGGCACATAACAAGATAGGACAGGTGAGGTTGGGCATAAGAAAAGCTCAAGACTACATGGTTTATAATTCATAATAGAACTTATGTAACATGTACTTATAGGGCACTTTTCTATACCTGGCATTGTTTCATATGATTTATTTTTATTAATTCATGTAAATCCTTATTATGGGATAAGTACTCTTACTGTCTCCTTTTCACAAATCAGTAATCTGAGGTACAGGGAAGTTAATAACCTTCCCAAGGTTACACAGCTAGTAACTGACAGAGCTGGAATTCTAAACCAGACAGTCTGACTTTGGAGACTTGATTATGTTGTTAGCTGCAGCCAGGCCTGACTCATGACAGTCTCATGCACAGTGGGATTGGGTCGTTGAGATCTATCTGTTGGGTTTTCACTGGCTGATTTTTTCAGAAAGAAATCACCAGGTCCTATTCCTATTCTGTCTTAGCATGGAAGCTCCACTGAAACCTGTTCAGCATCAGTCTTAACACACGTCTTCACTGGCAGATGGGTGGTGGCTGCCCTTGAGATGTATTGACCATGAGTGAATACAGGTCTCCTGCACAGAAGTTGAGAATTCCGCCACATAACCAACCACCACTGCCCCTGCTCTTAACCATAAGAGAGGTTTAGTAAAAAAAAAAAAAAAAAAAAGAAAACACACTACTTGTTGGACACGTATCACATGTTTTATGTATGTATGTACTGAAGTACTGAAATCAGCCTGCTAAATACCCCGTGTTAGTTTCCTGACTCAGTCTAAGATACGTTATCTATTGTTCACTCTTTCCTTTTGCCCCTAGTATTTTTGTTTATAAACTGAAAAACTAATATATGCAACATGGTAATTTTAAGCAAGGACTCCCCTTCCCCTGCTCAGACTCCTCAAACTTTTTAACTGTTCTTGTAGAGTTGACTCCAATTTGACCGTAAGTTCGAACTGACTCGACAGCACTTAAGCAACATGGGATAGAGTAGAGCTGCCTCACTGGGTTCCTAAGGCTGTAATCTTTACAGAAGAAAGCACACATCTTTCTCCTGTGGAGCAGCTGGTGGGTTTGAACCACCTTTTCAGTTAGTAGTCGGGCACTTACAGTCAGTATTGGGCTTTCTAAGACTTCTCATAGGCAGTTATAATAATCTCTCCAGAAAATTTCCATGTTCATAAGTATATATTTAATACCATATAGGAGCATATTATATAACTTCTGAACCTTAAAGATAATTTTGGTCAGAAAAATGAGTGACAATTTTCTTCTTTTTCCCATCAAAATGATTTAAAATGGGACAACAGTGTTTCCAGGCTCTACTTACAATGTGAAGAGTAAATGGTGGTAAGTTTCTTCAGTCAAATTATTTTCTATGGCACCACCTTTTAAACAGAACTGAATATTAGATTGTATAACATGTAAGACTTATTTTAAAGTACTTCAGATCAGATTCCATAGAAAGAGATCTCATGATTAGAAAAACTGGACAAAATGGAGAAACCAAAAGGAAATGTTTTAGGGCTAATCAATAAAATCAGCCATTAATTACCGTTAAGATAGCATAACTCAAAATAAGGAGAAACAATTACAAACATTATCAAAACAAATGCACGAAGTATGAATCTAGAAAAATTGGAAGTTGTCAAAAACAAAATGAGTCTCAAAAAGATGCTAGGCATCAGTGAGCTGAAATGTACCAGTATTGGTCATTTTGAATTAGACAATCATATGGTTTATTATGAGCTCTGGTAGCATAGTGGTTACGAATCGAGCTGCGAACCTTAAGGCCAGCAGTTCGAAACTACCAGCCGTTCCGCGGGAGAAAGATGAGGCTTTCTGCTCCCATAAAGATTTATAGCCTCGGAAACCCTGTACAGGGTCGCTATGGGTCGGACTCGAAGGTACTTAACAACAACAACATGGTTTATTATGATGGGAATGACAAATTGAGAAATGGGATTGCATTCATCACCAAAAAGAACATTCTAAATCTGTCTTGAAGTACAATTCTATCTGTAATAGGATAATATCCGTACACTTAAAAGGAAGACCAATTAATAGCAGTATTATTCAAATTAACGCACCAAACTAAAGTCAGTGATAATGAAATTGAAGAATCCTACAACTACTTCAATCTGAAAATGATCACACATCTAATCAAGATGAGGTGATAATTACTGGCAATTGGAATGTTAAGATTGATTGGAAACAAATAGGTTTGGAAAATACAGCTTTGGTAATAGAAAAGATGCTGGAGATCACATGACAGGATTTTGCAAGACCAACAATTTCATTGCAAATACTTTTTGTAAACAACATAAAAGGTGACTATACATATGGACCTGGATAATCACTGGACCAAAAGGTTGGTTTGGACTGCAAAATCAGCAGTTTTTAGAAACCCTATACAAGCTTGTTATGGGTCGGAATTGATTAGATGGTGCTTAAGAATACCAACACATGGATCTAAACAGATAGTATACATATCTGTGAGAAGAGATGGTAGAAAAGCTCAAAATCTCAGCCAGAAAAAGGCTAGAGGCTAACTGTGGAACACACCATCACTTGCTCATATGCAAGTTCAGGATGAAGCTGAAGAAAATTAAAACAAGTCCAAGAGGGCAAACTATGATCTTGAATATATCCCACCTGAATTTAGAGACCATCTCAGTAACAGATTTGATGCATTAGATACTAATGATGGAAGATCAGAAGAGTTAGTTGTGGGGTGACATCAAGATCATCATACAGGAAGAAAGCAAAATGGTCATTAAGAAGGCAGGAAAGAAAAAAACAAACAAAATGGATGTGAGGTGAGATTCTGAAACTTGCTCTTGCGAGGTAAAAGAGTTGAATAGAAAATTTCAAACAGCAGCTTGAGAAGACAGTCAAGTATTACAACAAAAATGGAAAAACACGCTCAGCATTTCTCAAGCTGAACTGAAAAAAAAATTCAAACATTGACTTAAATGATTCTGTGAGCAAAATACTGAATGATGCACAAAGTATCAAAAGAAGATGGAAGAAATACATGGACCCGCTACAACAAAGGAGAGACCAAATAAAACCTGGAACCCTGAACTTCAGAGGAAAGGTTAGAGAAGTGGATTGATTGCTTGATGAAAGCATTAGCTGAGCTGGGTAGTGGAGAGAGGAAGACTGACTGGTAAGTAGCTGGCCAGATGTAATGCAATCATCTTGAACTTTTGTGAGAAGCTTTGGCAACAGCAGGTGGGTGGCTTGTTAGAACAGATAGCAACCGTGCACATACAGCCTGCCACAACTGTACCCTCTGAAGTTCCGCCACTGGGCAAAAGCCAATACCAGTTCCTATACTACTTGATCAATGATAGACAGCAACCAACCCCAGCCAAACCCACCTGAAACTGAGGTGCATAAACAGTGAATGGAAAATGGCGCACACTTTTCCATTCTCTTAACTACACCCACACAAGATGGTGAGGACCTAAAAACACAACCATACAGTCATCAATTAAATACAACAGCACCACATAGTACTGGAGAAAACAGACAATGTTAGCTCACATGAAGAACTGAGAGACTAGTTCAAACAAAGGACTAAGATGCAGAGATGCAAAGCCAGAAAATGTTTCTGAGGAAGGAAAAGTAATGGAATGAACTGAAAAAGAAATAAAAAGAATGATATTTAGGTAACTTCAAAGAACTGATAGAAAGATTGACAAAACAAAAACCATGAGAAAAATTTAGGAAAACACTGTAAGAACAGACAAAATAGAAAATTTGAAAGAATAAAAAACCTGCAATTAGAAATTCAGAAAATTAATACTAAGATTTCAGAAATGGACATTATATTGAAAAGGCAAAGGTATAGATTAGAAGCAATAAAAGGCCAAATTAGTGAGATTGAAGATAAATCTCTGTATGGTAGAAGAGTAATTGGGGGAAAAAAAAAAAAGCCTAAAATTTGTGGGACAACATGAAGAAGAATAACTTACAAGTTATTGGAATTCTAGAACAGGAAGACACAGTAAAAAAAGCAGAGAGATAACTGTTGAAGAATCTTCCCTAACATCGCCAAAGAGTAGAAGATAGTCTACAAGAAGCTGAATGAACCCCAAACAGGATTTTTCCCAAAAGGAAATCACCAGGTTCCCGCTGTAGTCCCATGGATCTGTCTTGCTTCAACAGTGTTTGGACGGAACATATCTGGGGACTCCCCCACCTCTGACCACCTCTAACAACTTTTTTAGGTGCATCTCTTCTCTGGGACCATCTTCTCAACCATTTGCTCTTACTGGGACCAGCTAAACACCATTTTTTTGTGTGTTGTGTGTGTGGCTAGCTCCAAATATTTGACCAACCATGAACTCTCAGATTCGTCAGAATTATTCCATTGAAGTGGAGGCCAGCATCAACCGTGGTTAATCTGCATCTGCGGGCCTCTTACACCTACCTCTCTCTGGGCTTCTAATTTGATTATGATGATGTGGCCTTTGAAAGTGTGGGGCACTTCTTTTGTGAGTTGGCAAAGGAGAAGCGCAAGGGTGCTGAGCATCTCTTGAAGCTGCAAAACCAGCATGGTGTTCGCACACTGTTCAGGACGTGCAGAAGCCGTCCCAAGAGTCCCAAGATGAGTGAGGAAGAATCCTGGATGCCATGGAAGCCGCCCTGGCCCTGGAGAAGAACCTGAACCAGTCCCTTCTGGATCTGCACATCGTGGGGGCTACCCACACAGACCTCCACCTCTAGGACTTTCTGGAGAAACATTTCCTTGACAAGGAGGTGGAAATTATCAAGAAGATGGGTGACCACTTGACCAGCCTCCATTGGATGGCCGGTCCTCAGACAGGGCTGGGCGAATATCTCTTCAAGCACTAGTAGGAAGAGCCTGTGGAGCCCTGCAACTTGTGAAGGGCCTTTCAGCATTCCCCTGCTCTCCTCAAACCTTCTGCCTGAACCTTGCTCTCCAGCCACAGAGGCAGCATAGTCAACACCCTGGAGCCCCTCTTCTCCCAAGCATGGACCAAATGAAAACAATAAAGCTTCCTTTTACAGCCAAAAAAAAAAAAAAAAAAAAAAAACCCAAACAAACAAAAGAGAATCACCAAGAAATATAATCAAACTCTCCAAAACCAAAGACAAGGAAAGAATCCTGAGAGCAGCTTGAGAAAAACGAAAAGTTACCTAAAGAGGAGAACCAATAAGAATAAGCTTTGATTTTTCTGCAGAAACCATGCAGACAAGAAGGCAATGGGATGACATACAAAAAATTCTGGAAAAAAAAAAGGTGCCAACCAAGAATCATATACCCGGTAAAGCTGTCCCTCATATAGGACATTTTCAGATAGAAAGAAACAAAAGGAATTTGTAATAGCCAGACCAAGTTTACAAAAAGTATTAAAGGGTGTTCCTCAGACTGTGAAATAACAGCAGCAGACAACTACCGGAGATTCACATACATGACAACATCATGTAGAACTCAACCCAGGTATTACTGCTAAGTGCTGGTGAGTTGGTTCTGACTGATAATGACCCTGCATAGGGCATAAGAAATGAATACCAGAAAGATTTTAGTAACACAACAGAAATGAAAACCCACAAACCAAATGAACTCGGTGCAGAAAATTATGTGGAACAAAGAAACCAGAAGCACCATTAAAAAACACACAGCACGATTGTTGCTGTTGTTAGGTGCCATCGAGTTGGTACCTACTCATAGCGACCCTCTGCACAATCAAATGAAATACTGCCTGGTCCTGGGCCAACCTCACAATTGTTGCCCAGTGATGCTGCCATGTTGCCAGTCCATCGCACTGGGGGTCTTTCTCTTTTTCTCTGACCCTCCATTTTACCAAACATGATATCCTTTTCCAGTGACTGGTCCCGCCTGACAATATGTACAAATTATGAGAGACGAAGTCGCTGTACTTCTTCCAACACAGATGTTTGTTCTTTTGGCAGCCCATGGTACTTTCAATGTTCTCCAACATTATTACTCAATTGCATCAATTCTTCTACAATCTTCCTTATTCACTGTCCAACTTTCGCATGCATGTGAGGTTATTGAAAATACCATGACTTGGGTGAGGCGCACCTTAGTTTTCAAGCTGACATCTTTGCTCAACACTTTAAAAAAGGTCTTGTGCAGATTTGCCTAATGCAATAAGTTGTTTGATTTCTTGGCTGTTGCTTCCATGAGTGTTGATGGTTGATCAAAGAAGAATGAAGTCTTTGACAACTTCAATCATTTCTCCATTGATAAGTATGTTCTTTATTGGTCCAGTGGTGAGGATTTTTGTCTTCTTTACATTGAGATGCATTCCATAACAAAGGCTATGGTCTTTGATATTCATCAGTACGTATTTTAAGTCCTCTTCTCTTTCAGCAAGGTTGTATCAACTGCATATCGCAGGTTGTTAATCAATCTTCCTCCAGTCTTGATGTGACGTTTTTCTTCATATAACCCAGCTTCTCTGATTATTTGCTCAGCATACAGGTTGAACAAGTATGGTGAAAGAATACAACTTTGGCGCACACCTTTCCTAATTTTAAACCATTCAGTGTTCCCATGTTCTGTTTGGACAACTGCGTCTTGGTCCAGGTACAGATTCCTCATGAGCACAAATAAGTGTTCCTGAATGCTCATACTAAACAATGTTGTCCATAGCTTGTCCTGATCCACAGAATCAAAGGCCTTTGCATAGTCAGTAAAGCACAGGGTAAACATCTTTCTGGTATTCTCTGCTTTCAGCCAAGATCCATCTGACGTTAGCAATGATATCTCTCTCATTTCACGTCCTCTTCTGAAAGTTTTCTGTCAATATATGCTTGTAGCTGTTTCTGTATTACCTTCAGTAAAACTTTACTCGCATGTGGGATCAAAGACATTGTCTGATAATTTCTGCATTTCGTTGGGTCACCTCTTTGGAATGGGCACAGATGTGGCTATCTTCCCATCAGTTGGTCATACAATTATACCTATCAATAATTGCACTGAATGTAGATGGATTAAATGCACCAGTCAACAGACAGAATGAGTAGGAGAATTCTTCAATATGCAGTGTAGAAGACACATCAAAGGGTGTGTCTAATGCCCTAAATGCCCATCAACAGAATGGTCAACAGACTTTGGTACATACACATAGTGGAATACTATGAATGCAGCATTAAAGAATAAGGCTGGATCTGCAGAACACCTCACAACATGGGTGAACCTGGAGGACATTATGCTGAATGAAATCAGTCAGTCACAAAAAGTTAGAAGATTTTCTTGATGAAAGAATCATTCTATGATGGCTATAGGGGGTGGGACAGGTTGGGAAAATTATTCATGGGCTAAAGGGTAGACACCTTAACATGGGTGATGGTGCAGGCAATATACAAGAGGGAGGCTAGCAGAGGAAAGATGAAGGTAGCCAAAGACAGAGGAAGGCAAGAGTTAAAATGGAGGTAAACATTGTTTAACTGATGGTATATAGATCCAATTGCAACCATTGTAATGAAGCCAAGTATACAATTTGATGAATGTTAAACTGATTATCTGCTCTGTAAGGCTTCACTCAATTCACAATAAACAAAAATTATTTCTTGAAGTTAATTATCTTATAAACGGGGGTGTGGTGAGTGTCAATGTTCAACAGCCATTTCAAGAGATAGCATATGACCTAAAACTGATGGTACCGAAGGAAGAAGTCTAAGCTGCAGTGATGTTATTGTTGTTAAGCACTTTCGAGTCAGTTCTGACCCATAGTGACCCCGTATAGGGTTTCTGAGGAGTGGCTGGTGAGCTTGAACTGCTGACCTTGCACTTCAAAGTGACTTTGTAGTCCAGTGCATTAACCCACAAACACCGCACCAGGACTCCTGATGTTATTACTAGGTGAAGAATATTAAAAGTACTATGAACTGCCAGAAGAACAAACAAATCTGTGTTGGAAGAAGTACAGCCAGAGTACTCCTTAGAAGCCAGGATGGTGAGACTTCATCTCTCATAAGTTGCACATGTTATCAGGAGGGACCACTCCCAAGAGAAGGCATCATGCTTGGCAAAGAGGAGGGTCAGTGAAAAAGAGGGAGACTCCCAATTAGACAAATTTATACAGTGATAGCAGTAATGGTTTCAAACATAACTGTGAGGAAGGCGTAGGACTGGGCAGTTCTATTGTATAAAGGTTTGTTATGAACTGGAACTGACTGAAGGGCACCTCACAATAAGAAAAACGAAAACCTATAGACATTTCCCCTAAATGTGACTATTTACAACAAACCTTAGCAGTTGATAACTGAATCATCTTTGATGCTAATTTCCTCTCCCTGTGAATTGTCCAGATAGTATGGAAGACAGTATCTGAAATATTATATAAATGGGTAATTAACCCATGATAATTAAACTGATGTGCTATCCCTGGGTAAAAGCAAACTTATATTCTTTGGTCATTAAATTAAATCATAGGCACTACTTGAGTATAATGAAATGATACTGATATCACCAAAGTCACCAGCCCTGAAAAAATTGTCTTATCTTCAGTGCCTTTTTTTCAGGTGGACTTTGTATGATTTATTTATTCCTGAGGTTGTCATACCATGGCTGAAAATGACGTGGACAGAAACCATACTGAGAAACTCCTAAAAAGGGTGCAAGAACTGGAAGAAGAAGTACAAAGACTTAAAAAGGAGCAAGTCAATAACAAGAACTCAAGCAGAAGAGATCCTTTAGGAGGTGGAAAAGCTAAGCGTGCATTTGATTTCAGTGCTCATGGCCGAAGACATGTAGCTCTGAGGATAGCCTATCTTGGCTGGGGCTACCAGGGTTTTGCCAGTCAGGAAAACACAAGTAATACCATTGAAGAGAAGCTATTTGAGGCACTAACCAAGACACGACTGGTAGAAAGTAGACAGACATCCAATTATCACCGGTGTGGGCGAACAGACAAAGGAGTTAGTGCCTTTGGACAGGTAAAGCAAGCAATACCAAGATAATCTAGATGTCTTTGTACTGAGAATTCAGATTAGTTGTGTCTCTAAAACAGAGTATCTTTCTCTAATTCCACAGGTGATATCTCTTGACCTTCGCTCTCACTTTCCAAAGAAGGATTCAGAGGATTGTAATTTAGAAGAGACAGTCAGTGATACTGCTAAAGAGATCCGTTATACCCACATTCTTAATCGTGTGCTCCCTGCTGACATCCGTATATTGGCCTGGGCCCCTGTAGAACCTACTTTCAGTGCTAGGTTCAGCTGTCTTGAGCGGACGTACCGCTATTTTTTCCCTCGTGCTGATTTAGATATTAGAATCATGAATTCTGCAGCTCAAAAGTTTGTTGGCACACATGATTTCAGGAATTTGTGTAAAATGGATGTAGCCAATGGAGTGATTAATTTTCAGAGGACTATTCTGTCTGCTCAAGTACAGCTAATGGGCCAGAGCCTGGGTGAGGAGGGACGGCAAGACCCTTTCCAATTGTGTCAGTTTGAAGTGATTGGCCAGGCATTCCTGTATCACCAAGTTCGCTGTATGATGGCTATCCTCTTTCTGGTTGGCCAAGGAATGGAGAAACCAGAGATTATTGATGAGTTGCTGAACATAGAGAAAAATTCCCAGAAACCTCAGTACAGGTAAGTAAAGAAAAAACCAAAACACTCACAGGTTTTGCCATTAGAATTATATTTTACTTGGTTTACATATATATATATATATATATATACCCCTCTTGCCTGAAACCCAAGTAATTCATTCTACCTTCATGAGGCTTTTAATTTGTACATGGTTATGATTATGTAACGGTTATGAAGAGAGTGGAATCTTTTAATTTAATTTTCCTTTTCTTGTTCTATCCCATTAGTAGGGAAATGGACTCTTGGGTCCTTAAAAATAAGAACATTCATCTCTACTTTTTTTTTTTTTTTCTTTCTGTTTCTAAATTTATATAAAGTGGTATGTTAGGTTCTGGTGAACTTAAAGGTAGCATCAATCTAGTCAGATTAGATAGGACTTATTTTGTATTACTGAGTGGTGGTTGTGCACTGTGGAGTCAGTTCCAATTCATAGTGACCCTATGAGGCTGGAAATCGTTACAGAAGCAGAAAGCCTCATCTTTCTCCCTCGGAGCAGTTGGTAGATTCAAACTGCTGTTCATGCCATTAGCAGCCCACTCATAACCCTCCACACTACATTACTATGCATTTGATTCTCCAAATATTCAATTTCTGAATTAGTAGTATAGGCAGAAAATAGAGTCAAATTTTTCTTTTGAGAGCAACTTGAAGCCAGATTGTTTTTGTTAAATGCTGTTGAGTCATCAGTTCTGACTCACTGTGACCCTTTATAGGGTTTCTAAGGAGCAGCTGGTGAATTTGAACCACCAACCTCGTAGTCCAGTACATTATCCCACAGTGCCACACGAGGACTGAAGTCAGATAGATAATAATTCAGATAGATAATAATTGTAACTAATATGTAGCTTTTACTCCAAACAATACAAAATTGTTTTTACTCCATACTAGACAAAATTGGAATTCTATGAACAAGTTTGGGAAAATACCACTAGCTGTTTGTAATTTTACAGCATTATGGTGGGGCAAATTCAACACTTCTAGGTGCCTGGTTACCATTTAGATTTGCCCTAGTGTAAATTAAGCCTAACTAGCTGTTCAAGATTAGGATATATTTTCTTAGCTATCTGGTAACAATATTGACATCAACAGTTTCCACCACCCCCCTTTTTTAAAGCCCAACTGACCCTCAGTTTCTGAAAACAAAACAAAAAAACCCCCAGCTATCTGATGTTTGGTATGTCTTCTCATAATCAGTTTTTTTCTTTTCTGTCTCTAGCATGGCAGTAGAATTTCCTCTAGTTTTATATGACTGCAAGTTTGAAAATATCAACTGGATTTATGACCAGGATGTTCAAGAATTCAATGTTACCCACCTACAACAACTATGGGCTAATCATGCTGTTAAAACCCACATGTTGTATAGTATGCTGCAAGGATTGGACTCTGTGGCAGTATCCTGTGGGAAAGGTACAGCAGGGACATTCAAGGGTAAAGTTCCTCAACCAGAAATTTTATAGGGTTATGGGTGGGAAGGTAGTTTTATATGTTTGGAGGGGATTGATCTATTGTAGCAAAGTATCCATGTAATAATTGATTGTGTAATTATAGGACCAAAGATGGATGGAGTGATAGAATGGAGAAATGTTAAGCCCTCTGTCATAAAACAGACCAGTGCCTTTGTAGAAGGAGTGAAAATGCGTACATATAAACCTCTAATGGATCGTCCTAAATGCCAAGGATTGGAATCCCGGATACAGCATTTTGTACGTAGGGGACGTATTGATAATCCGTATTTATTCCATAAGGAAGAAACAAAAGCCAAAAGGGACTGTAATGACACATTAAAGGAAGAAAATACCATTTTGGAGAAACCAACAAAAAGAGTCTGTGTTGATACAAAAATTGAAAGTATCATTTAACCATAGAAAACTCACCAAGATCCAGGAGGCAACAACCAGCTAGTTGTTGGAAGAAGCTAGGTGGGTAGAAAGAAAATATTTATTGCAAGACGTAATAAAAATTTTGATGATCAACTCTTAAAAAACCTGATCTCAAAGTCTAATTTATTGTGCTGTCCTTTTTTAAAGAAAAGGAATGTTCACTATTCATCTGAGTTCTCAAAAAGAGCCTTGCCTGGAGTATCTTGTATATATAAGTAACCAATATATAATTTAAAAATATTAAATTCAGTCCAACAATTTTTGACAAATAGATTTAGTGCCAGACCTCATGCTGTCTGCAAGTGACCTAACTGATTAAACCACTTCTTTGTTCCTTATGAAGTCTGGGGAGAGACTGGCAAGCTTTTTCTGTACAAGGCCTGAAAGTAAATATTTTAGGCTTTGTGAACTTTCTGTATTTTCTGTTGTATATTCTTTCTCATATTTATTTTTAAAAAACCCGTTACAGATGTAAAAACAATGCTCAGCTCATGGGCCATAGACCAAAATGTCATGGGCTGGGGTTTGCCAACCCCTGGAATAAGTTTAAGGAAGGCTCATATAAAGAAAAGCTATCTAAGCTATCTATTTTTAAAATAGAACAAGTGGAAATCAGTTAAAGTGGGATAAAGAATTGGAGTTTCAGAGGATGCAATTTTTGTATAAAGGGCTGGAGATTACCGCATGTGGATTTAGGTAGCTCTAAAGAAGCTCTACTTGAGGAGGCATTTTTATCCCCAGTCGCATTCTGAGTGCCTTCCCACCTTCCAGTCCTGTATCTGAGGGTGTTTCTCTGCTATTCATAGTTTTCAGTGACTAACAATTCGGAAGTAGTTTGTCACTTTTTTTCCTAGTCTGTCTTTGTTTGGAAGCTCATCTGAAACCTGTCCACCATGGGTGACCCTGCTGGTTATTTAAAATACCAGTGGCATAGCCCTCAGAATCACAGCAATTCAAACCACCACAGCAGGACAGACAGACGAGTGGGGGTTGTGTGGTCGCTGTTAAACACGAATCTCCTTGCGCTACGGCCCTTAAGTCCGGCTCAAAGGTGGGATTTCCGTCCTCGGATGTCGCGTCAGTCAAGAGGCGGAAGCGCAGCAGGGGCTACAGGGTTGTAATGAGACGCTTTGGGCTGCGCTTGTGGGTCTCTAAGTTGGTAGACCCCGCCTCAAAGCCAGGATCCAATGGCTAGGCTGGGACAGCGACCTCGCGTCTGGGGTAAGTCGGACAGCCTGGCTGGCCGCTGCAGTCTCTTCCCACTAGACAGTGTCCCCCCATCGACCTGGTCTCCAGACACCTCTCACCCCGACGCTCCATGATCTGGGTTTCATTTAATATCTCCACCAGGTCTCCGCAGTTCTCGCACATTGTTCAGCCGCTGCTCCCTCCATTAATCAAAATGAAGCTAAACAGCTGTAAACATCCATTGAAAATCGGCACATGGAATGTATGATGTTGATGTCTTAGGCATTAGTGAGCTGAAATGGACTGGTATTGGCCATTTTGAATCTGACAACCACATGGTTTACTATGCAGGGAATGACAAGTTGAAGAGGAATGGTGTTGCATTCATCGTCAAAAAGAACATATCCAGATCAGTCATGAGAGGTACAATGCTATAAGTGATAAGATAATATCCATGC